CAGATGAGGTCTGGTTCTCTTTTCATAGCACGTGGGTTTTGTTTTGATGTCTGGTAAATCTAAAGTCAGTTTAGGTTTTTTTTTGAGGAGGACATCCTCTAATAATGCACGTCAACTTTTTTGATCGATTTGATTATACGCCGATTTATCTCGTTCGTAGTCCTTGTCTGCCTTTTTTTTTCCCCCCTCAATGAAAAAGAAACCTGAGCAATTCGGAATTAGATACTTTCTCATTTGTCTTTTGCTTCCGTGTTGGGTTGGCATCTGCCAGGAGGGCTCCCTAGGGAACTGGGGCTAATCTTTGAAGGGTTAATTTACATCACACATTCAACGTGAGGAATAATCGTGTAGCTTAGAAGTGCCGTATTGCTTGGGAGAAAGCAGAGGGGTCTTCTGCTGCTTTTTCTCAAAAAAAAAAAAAAAAAAAAATTTTTTTTTCAAAATTTTTTTTTTTTTTCAAATCAGCGGGTGAAGCTGGCCAAGTCTGCAGGGAGGTGCAGAATCCTGGAGGCGCCAGACTACGCTGAGGGGGTCTGGCCAAATGGCACTCTGCTGTTCGTCCTTTATCATGGAGCCTGGTCTCAAGTACTAATCATCTTATAACCAAAGCTGCTAACGAGAAAGAAGATAAGGAAAGTTCCCTGCCTGCCTTTCTCCACCCTCCTTCCTTCCCACCCTCCTCCTCTTTGGTTCTCCCTTCTTGCATCCACTCTGCATCTGTGGAGCAGCTCTAGGGGTCCAGGCAGTTGGCACGTAGGTGCTAAAGATGCCTGCAGACCAGTGAGAGAGACAAGACATGGAAACGAATCCACGTGGTGGAGAGTCATGGAATCTCAGATGAGGGGCGTGGGGGATAGGAAGTGTGGCAGGGGCAGTGCCGGGTCACAAAGGGCCAAATACTATGAGTCTCCTAGAATAGTCAAATTCATAGCTATGAAAAGTAGAATAGCGGTTGCCAGGGGAACGGGGAGTTACTGTTTAACGAGTAGTTTCCGCTTGGGAAGATGAAAAAGTTCCGGTGATGAATGGTGTGTACGATGTGAGTGTACTTAACGATGTGAGTGTGCTCAACGCCACTGAACTTTATACTTAAAAATGGTTAAAATGGTAATGTTTATGTTAGGTATATTTTGCAATAAAAAATAAGTTGATGTAAAGAAAAAAATTAACTACAGACGGTATGGCCAAAATCAAGGTGGCATGCGAATGCCCAAGTTTGGAAAACATTGTCCCGGCCTCGGCCTCACAGTGCGGTTATGAATTATTTGCATGCAAATGAGAAGCCTTATTTTAATAACCTGAACTTTTTCATTTATTATTTCTGGGCAAAAAAATGTTTTAAAACACTGTGGTGAATGGGCAGATAGAAAAAGAAGATGACATCTGTTAAAAACCCTTTTCGTACGAGTATTCTATTTTATTTCACTTAATTCTAAAAACACCGTCACAAAGGGATTAACCCAGGTTCACAGCCTGGGAAACCGGCCCCACCGAGTTTAAGCGTCCAGACCAGCCCTTCCCACCGGGCCACCCACCTTGCTCTGTGAGCTCTTTGGGGGTGTCCCTCACTGTTCTCACGTATCCCATTTCCCCTTCTGTCCATTTGTCACCACAGAAAATCCCACTTGCTTGGAATTTTGCATCTGGAGGGCATTAGTTTGAGAAAACACGAATTGGGGATGGAGCAGCTCCTAAAAAATGGGAACGAATCTTGTCCCCGAGGGGAGCACACGCACCACAAAGCCAGACCAACACTGGGCGCCGCCTTGAACTCCCGGCTCCTCCCGTTCCTCAGTTTCGCATGTGAAAACAGATGTGATTCACCCTCGCCAGGAAAAACACAAAAGTGCAGAGGGGAAAAAACTCACCACCACCACCACCAGGCACCAGTCACGGCGCCACCCAGAAATAACCACAGTTCCCATTTGGGTCAATATATTTCCTATTTTTACTAGGCATGTGCATATACACAGTGTATTTTTAAAATGAGCTTTACAATACAGTTTGATCACCTGGTTTTACATATTGGGAACACGGTCTTTTACAACAGTTAAAATAATTGTGTAGTACAAATAAAACAATCGATTAAGCCTTCTCTTTGGGGAAATTTAGATTTCGTTTTTTTTTTCCATGGAGACTTTATTCTCTTTGCAATGCCTTGAGAAAAACAAGATACGTCCTTGTCTTTTATAGCTTTCTATAGATGATAGGAACTTGCCCTTCAACTTAGCTTTTTAATTTGCTTCTCTGCACCCATCTAATCATCAATCGAGTAATCCATGTCATTGTTCCCTGACTGTCTCTCCCATTTGCTGCTTCCTCTTCTCTACCTAGTTTTCCTGGCTGCACACACACACACACACACACACACACACACACACATCTGTTCCTCCAGCATTCAGCTCACCTTTAGTATCTGCTCCCTCCCCTCTCATTTGCTCTTATAGATGATTCCTTTTCAAGCTACTGTCTTAATTGATTTTGATCCACTCGAGGTTTTAATGTCAGTGCCACATTAGGACTAGCTTTTAATAACCCGAAGATAGAACTGTTTAAAGGAAAGTACTAATAAGAAGCCCTTGGTAGAGTTACACGTGACAAGAAACATGGGACTTGGGCACAGTGTGGATGTGGCTCAGGGTTTTTCTTTTTTAAGTAGTGTTTTTGGAGAGGGCAGGGCAGAGGAAAAGTAGTCGGTACAGGCAAACCTCATTCATTGCACTTTGCTTTTTTTCGCTTCACAGATACTGCATTTTTCACAAAGTGAAGGTAAGACCCTCCACTTGCAAAAAAAAAAAAAAATTATGACTCGCCGAAAGCTCGGATGATTGTCAGCATTTTTTAGCAATCAAATGTTTTTAAATTATATGTACTTTTTTTTTTTTTTAGAAATAATGCTATCGCACACTTAACAGACTACAGTATAGTGTAAACGTATCTTTTCTATGCACCGGGAAACCCAAAACATTGTGCACCTGGCTTTATGGCACTGGTCTAGAACCAAACCTGCAATATCTCTGAGGTGTGCCTGTACTCTAGGGAAACGATAGGGACCATCGTGGAAATCTATCCACCATTTCAAGGCAACTAACAAATGATCATCTCTCAGTTAGAACGATAGCCTTTCAAGGTCATGAAATTTGCATGACAAATGTTGCATTAAATGTCGATTAATATTAACTTTGTATAGCAAGGCAGATGCCAGCAAGCATAAGAGTGGTGCGTGCAGAAGGTATTAGTTCTGGAGTCCTGGAAGCCGTGAGGTGCTCATCCATCACATGGCCATCTGCAAGGTAGGGACGCTTGGTCATTAAAGAAAATCCCTTTGGCAGCTGAACCTGCTGCCCACACACGTGGCCTATCTACATGAGCCCAAATCGGCTAGGGCCCAACATTTGAAGAGAACAGTGTGTACACGGAATTCACACTCCCCTGAAAAAATAGCCTCCCACAGAAGTTGCCATAGGTCTACGGTGAATGTGCTCTTCCCTGGA